GTAAGAAAGAAGTGCCCTGCATTCTTGCTCTCCTTGTGCAGCCGTATTAAATGCTTACTTGAGACGAGATCAACACCGGTCGGATCTCATCCTTGTTGTATCATTTTGGTGAATGACGAGTTTTCGTGTTGCTCCCCACCCAGCTGTAGTGAAACTGTGGGATGAGTCACGTGATCTTGCGAGCCCATGGAATGAAAAAGTCCCTCCGGCAAAGTGGTATTGCGACATGCAAAGCTTGCATTCATTTGTTATAAATGAGCTAACTTCTTTCTTACTTATACAAGTGGTGTAGAATCCTGTAATCCATTCATTGTGTAGGAACACGCTGCTGCTCAAGAGGTATTCCCTTGTTTAGGACATTTTAGGAGGCTAAGATTTGGACAAGGGTTCGGAGAGGGGTATGATTTCGCTGGTCGTAGCGGCAAGTGTTCTGAGTTTCTCTGAGTCGTCGGCTGGTCGTTAGAGTAGTCAACTTAACAGCCTTACTCCAGGGTCTTTTCTAGGTTAACTCAGCCCTCCTTTCCGGGGTCTTTGACATATCGCGCGAGATAACGCGAGTTGCTGAAAATACAAGAGGCACGTGGTATCACGACAAAGAATAGAACAATTTTGTAATATCGCTGTCCTTGATTTTTATTTCACATGAATTCTCAGAGTGTTAATTTTTTGTCATGCTGTAATTTGTGGTCCTGTGGAAGTAGTTAGCTCAAGTTTTGTCTCAGGAAACATTGAGATTCAAGGAATTACAGTTTCTTAAGGGACAAGTTGTCCGTTCCTCAAAAGTCCCGGTAGCTTTTTTTGGCCTGAAATCAAATATTCAATTCAAAGTCTTTTAAAAGAACGAAAGTGCAGTTCTTAGCTTACAAACTTTTGAAACCAGTCCATTTTCTTTTGTTAACTGGTAGTTTTATCATATTATCTGCAAAACTGTTGAAACCTTTACCTTGAATTTAACAACAACAGGCTTTTGGGTCCATTAATTATCGGGACTTTCAAGAAACTGGTCCCAGATTAGTGCTTTGTCATGGAGCCACAGGAAAATTGCGTTGCCGGTGCGTTGCTCTACCAACTGAGCTATGAAGCCACACATTGGGAGCGAGGTCAATTTATTGAGTTCATATCTCCCGTGAGGAGTGAAATGATATGAAGTATATCTGAAATATATGTGAAGTATGTGAAGTATGTGAAGTATATATTTCATATATACTTCACATCATTTCACTCCTCACGGCTGGTCAAATGAAATATATTTGTTGTTTAGTACACAGCGAAACAAAGGACCTCCCAACTGGACCACGAGTGCGTGTTTGCGCTTAAGCGCGACTCTTCAAATCCAGTTAACTTGAAATTCGAAAGTCATGAGGTTCCTATGTGTCTTTATGTCTGCTACTGCAAAATAATCTTTAGCGTAAAGCAAATGGGAGACTTTGTACTCCTCTTTTCTGGATGTGATGCATCCAAGTTTTGGACAGGCAATGTGAAACAAGTGTCTAACCGTTGCTAACTATACTTGCCGTCATACATTCAAACGAAGTAAAATTACATAAATGCAACTAAAACGGGTACTGCGTGGTGATTTGCAGTTCTCTGGGTGGAATCCTTTCAAAACGAAACCTCATAGTTGTCAGCTCTGTCACTGAATACTTTTTCGTTATGTGAGTATCTTTTTTGTTTCGTACTAGCATGCTTCTGCTTGAAAGGCTGATGATTTCTAGTGACGCATTTGAAGTTGACGTTTGTAGCGAGTGTGGGCTGATGGGTTACTCTGGATGGTAAGAACACTCGATAATTCCCTTATTTAGAGATCAGTCTCTTAAGAGCTTTTGATATTGAGAGACGTAAGTGTAAAAATGTCCGTGACAGTTCGTATGAACCTTCACAATTACCGTTGCATAGAGGCTTGTGTTACATAATGCCGAACAGCTTGATGGACCAAGTATCATTTCCTATCCGCTTTGCTTGTGTACACAGTGATATTCATAACACACCCGAACACTTGACTGATAACCTGTACACAGCCACCCCGCCCCCCACCTCCAGTAAAAAATCCAGGAAGGGGGAGGCTGTACACAGGCTATTGACTTAAGGTCATACGCTACTGTGTTCTTCCTTTGCAGGTGCCACTACTGTTCGTCTTCACACAACATTTCCACTTTGAAAATACCTTACGCTTGCAAACTGCTCTTCCAAGAACTTTTGTCCATGAACATTGTTCCTCGACTTTCACTGAAACACTACACTGACGAATGACATGGAGATTTTTTTTGAAGTTTTAATGACTCCAGGAGCCAAAGACGCTGCGATACTGGGTGCAGAGATACTCCCACAGTAAAGGCGAATTCATTAACATGGTGCAACTCGCGTTGTTTTTGTTCACTATTGCAATAGGAAATTTATCAGAAAAGTAAATAAACAAATTATTTAAGTAAGAAAGAAGTGCCCTGCATTCTTGCTCTCCTTGTGCAGCCGTATTAAATGCTTACTTGAGACGAGATCAACACCGGTCGGATCTCATCCTTGTTGTATCATTTTGGTGAATGACGAGTTTTCGTGTTGCTCCCCACCCAGCTGTAGTGAAACTGTGGGATGAGTCAC